CAGGAACTGTGACTCATCAATGTACAAGTAAAATGTGAGCTGTTTTCATTGCTTGCAGCTCTAATTTTAGACCATGTGTATCCACCAGTTTTCCCGAATGAGCTCAAAGTCTTTGTGTTGCTTTGATACAGTACTGTTCAAGGAATGTTTTTACCCTGAAATCTGTCTACTCAGTGAAAATAGTTTTTTAAACCTGCTTTACAATGAAGCAACTATCAATGAATTGTCCCACACAAGGCCCCTCTTGCTTTTTCCATTCACATGTATACATGTAGTTTTTTAAGGAAGTAAACTTTGAAATAATTGAGCTATTTTTACAGAACTGTGGACTTGTGGACTTGTACTTAGCTCCCCTCACTTGAATATATAACCAGTCTGCTACATGTACATTTAGTACCACAATTGCTTATCAAGTCACATATGTGTATTCAATAGGTTGTTGAAGCCTTGAGTTTGAAAAAGTGTTCACAAATTGTTCCTCTTTGACACGTCAGAGTATCCATTTGAACATGTCATAGAGTGTCCTTTGGCACATGTTATGGGGTGTTCTTTGGCACATGGCACGGGATGCCCTTTGGCACATGTCATGGAGTCTGCTTTGGCACATGTCATGAAGTCTGTTTTGGTACATGTATGTGTCATGGAGTGTTCTATATTTGGCAGGTGTCATGGCGTGTCCTGTGGCACGTTTCATGGAGTCTCCTTCAGCACTAGTTTTCTTTGACACATATTGTGGAGTCTCTTTGGTAAAATGTGTTGGAGTCTTATGCAAAATTACTCAAATGAAATTACTCAAATATCAAGTGACGTTGTTTGGTTACGAGGTGCATAAGGTTGATTGTTGGTATCATCCATTTGAATGATTTGAGAGGAAGGTACACACAGACATGCATCTTTTTTTTATTTTATTTCAGTTTAAAAATGGTATCAATTCAGTGAGTCGTACGACTCATAATGATTGATTTACAAATATTAAAACCATTGAAATTATTAATAATTAAAATTCAGTCAAAACTCTTGCAAATTTCCAAATAAACCACGTACGACAGCCACAAAAACAAATGACGCCCACACCAACAACAAATACATGTATTGCACTTAGGAGGAGCAAGTTAAATTGTCAACTAAAAGGAGAAAAATCACTGCCGACTTTTCGTATCTGGAAGTATGGCAAATTGGGTTAAAGAGACCATGATTGCTTCTAAGAAGGCGGAAATTTGGTAAGGAACTACAAAGTGGAGGGAGTAAAGATCTATGTCTTGAGTGCATTAAGGATTTTGCAAATTTTTCTAATATTTGATTTCGCCGTCGTTTTAATAATGGTATGTTAAGGAATTCAAGGGCAAGTGAGTATTCGAAGTTATTATTGTAACCTAGAATAAATCGACATGCACGTCTTTGAATACGTTCAATTTGGTCAGATTGTTGAATCGTGAGATCAGATGACCAGGATGGTGAGGCATACTCAAGTAAAGGTCTAATATACATAAGGTAAATAGTCAAAAGGTCATGAGCCGGGGCATTGAATTTTTTCAAGACACAAAGTATATACAAACGTTTGGCAGCAAGACTTGTCATGTGATACCTGCTTGGCCCACTTCAAATCAGCTTGGATAATGACACCAAGTAGTTTCAGACTGTCAACCGATTCCAACAATGTGTTGCCAATAACAACAGTAGGCGTAACTATTTGTTTTCTCATGAAGGAAACAAGCATAAACTTACATTTTTCGGGTTTAATATTCCATTTCATTAACATCAGATAGTTCAGACAAGCTGCCTCACTCAATAGTGGTTATCCTCTGACCAAAGGCTCGAATATTGGATTCTCGAAAAGGGTGCAAGGATATGCGCCGAGAGGTAGGTATAAGGAGTGGTTCACATGCACTAATGATAACAGTCTTGTGATCACTATTTGCAAAAGGATTAATAATGACTGGAGGTTGATAAAGATCAACCAAGTCGTGAAGACTTGATACAATAAATTCTGCCCTCTGGTTGGCATTGTAACTAGCTGGTGTAATGCCAACCCCTGAGTGAAAGGTGTGGTGTCTGGATCATTGAAGTCCCCAAGAATCATGAGGTTAGAGTACGGATGTTCAGATTTAAATAATCAGCAATGAAAAGTAGACTTTCTATGACCTCTGCCTTGTTGGGGGACTGAGAGGGGCAATAAATGACAGCTAGAAATACATGTTGTTTTAACGTAGAAGCAAGTGATAACAACCAAAAGAACAGAACGCAAAAACAGTTGTGTAATTAAGACTTCAACCTCCTTTTATTACAAGACACACCCTTATATACACACACTACACTACTTAAACCATTCAACTGTAAAGCAAAACAAAAGCGAATGGAACCAATGTCCAGTCAGCATCTTAGTTAGCTACATGACAATTTCAGGAATTTCTCAGGTGAGTGTAGCTCTCTATGAGGTACTTATTTATTTAAAATCACACAATACCACACATGTACAGCACTCGATTGATTGAAACTCAGTTTAAGCCATAGGGTTTCAAGATGGCTGGGAATGAGCTGTGGATCAACACGCAAAACATGAAAGTCAGAATGTGCATAGATACCAACTCCCCCATCCTGTCGATTGACATGGTCCTTTTGAAACAGATCAAATCCAGAAATGGATAAAGAACTCGTTGATTTGTTGTCATTAAGCCGCATTTCGGTCAGAACAGTGATGTCCTAGTTGTTTGCTCTCATTGTTGCAACAAGATCCTCAAATATTGTAAAGACCTCACATTGGCAAGAAGCAGAGATGGCAATTTGCTGGACTTCCATTTTAAATGGGTACGACAACGATATGTCGATTGCACACAGTGGTCCTCTGGGTAATGGAAGGTCTATTACCAATCAGCACAGGAATTTTTCGAATGTTGTTGGTACCAGCTCTACATCCCCCTACACTCCTTAGCAGTAGACCTAACATGCAATGGAAGTTTCACATTCCGTCGGTTACGTAATCCATACAACTGCGAAGCTGTATATCTAATGTTAGGAAATGTTTCCGTCAAATGTGGTTGAGGGCAATTACAATTAGCGTGAGTAACTCCAGAGTTCAACAGCTTTGTACACGTACTCATGTATTGGTTTTCGACATTCTCCTACAAATCGTAAGAACTCGGATTCAGTGAAACATCCATAAACACAGTAATGTCAGCAGGGGGGTCATGCCCAGGTATAACTAGGCTAGTCGATCCATGTTTTGACCACCATAACAATAGGTGTCCTGAAGCATGAAATCCCAACAAAGTGCATAAGGAGGATCACTTAGCCTTAACAAAAAATGGCGATAGTACTTGGGGATATCCTGTCATGCCACTAACGACAGATAAATGGTGGTAATTCTCCAGCTGTATGAACAAAAATTTACTATACCTGTTCACAAATCTAAAAATCCTCTGGTCTGATTGTGCTGCACTGGCTGTAGCAAATGACAGTATGAGTCCCACACAGTGCATGTAATGTACTGCTGTAAAAGCCATGATGGCCGATAGCTGTACTCTGAAGTTGCAATAGAGTCAGACAATAACAGTCAATGAAAACGACATCCAAAGACTCCAAAAGATTACAAATTACAAAGAATAGGAGAGAATCAACTGTTTGTAATAAATAAGAACGAACATGAAGATGGCTGTCTTGAAATATATCAGTTTATTCCAAATGGATTTAGTTCCTTTTTTGCAGTTTTATGTGATGCTATTTTGGCAAGTTTAAGACTGGGCAGGATTGGTTACCTTTAATACTACGAACTTAGCAAAAATAAACATGCACACATCTTACAAAAACATTAACTTGATCCTATTGCTATACCTCATACATATTCATGACAGATCACTGAACTCTCATTTGTGCATTCATAGTCACGCGCCAGCTGCTATTTGTTGTTGTTTGCCAAGCACATACATGACCATTCACGGAAGTAAATACGCACACATTTTTAACTGGCACCTTGGTGTATGTGCACTTGTGGCATCACCCTAGCAACTGTATGCAGCTCATATGGAAAGAAAATCAGTTTTTTTTTTCAGCTGAGCGATGCCTAACTGGAAAATATTGTGGACAATAAGAATTCCTCCTCCACTAAGAAGGTTGTCCAAAACGCGGTGAAAATGCTCAAAAATTACTGTGTTGCAAAAGGATTGAACTTTTTTTTACATAATCATGTTTTTATTTTCAGAGGTTATTAGATAAAAAATGTATGAGGTATAGTAAAACAAATAGAAAGTGGCTTATTTTAGTTGGACAGTCGTCATTAGCTCCCCTTGGTATTGGGGAGTTAACAAATTAGTTCCCTCGGCTTCAACCTCAAACCATGTTATATTTGTATATTGCCATGCATCAACACAGCAAAGTCTGGCATACAGCATCTTTTTAACATATTTACATTTTTAAATACAAACCACACATGCTTAATGATAAATAAGAGTTTGTTTCCCTAGCAACTGATGAAAAGTTGGCATATTGTAAGACCAATATTTTGTCAATCTAATTTTTGGGTCGACAACACATATTGTTACTGTGCCTTATGGTAATGATCATGAACCAACTTCAGTGGTCCTGCCACTATCATTTATCAGCAGTGTTGAATATCTCGGTTGTTGAATTGTAGAAAATACATGTACCACACGTGCAGTATTTTGCAGTTATTTCAAAGATGGATTTGCACCGAGGATGAAATTAATTTTGGATTTTTTGCCTGGCGGGACATGTATTTTAGCACTCTATACTCAGTGTAAGCCCCGAAGGCTTGTGAAAAAACCACAAGCGTACTCAGGTGGGACTTGAACCGTCAACCTCCTACTTACTAGTGCAGACGTCTTAACCACTCGACCACCAAGCTTGCTGGTGTCGGCTGGCTGGCTTGTACAAGTGGTTAAGACATCTGTGCTAGTAAGCAGGAGGTCGTGGGTTCGAGTCTCATCCAAGTACGCTTGTGGTTTTATCACAAGCCTTTGGGGGCATACACTGAGTATACAGTGTTAAAATACACTTTGCACAGGGCAAAAAAAAAATCCAAAATCAAAAACATCCAAAATTAGTATTTTGCAGCTTGAAGACAACTTCGATCGATCGATGTGGATAGGAAGGGGGAAAATATCGCTTTCACATTGACATTTCACAAAGTGTGAAAATAGTTTCCCACATGTATGTAAAGGCACTTGAGTATTTTTCTGCTTATGCAAGAAAGTGTGGAATAATTTTCACACTTCTAAGAGAAGTGAAAATATGTTCTCAATCATGTGAAAAACTGTGAAGATGTTTTGAATTGTGGGAACTTGTTTTCATGTATATGAATAAAAATTAGTAATGTGAGAAGAAAAACTGTTACAAGAATTTCTGACTACTAAGTTAACTTATGCAGGTACTTTTGATCTGTGACAGGGAGTGGTCCTAAAGACATATAAGCACATCGACCACCAGTCTAATATGCGTTATAACAGTGATTTTGAAAAGTATGGGCAATCGATCGGGAAAAATGATGGATAGCTGGGCATTTAATGTGTGTCCATTGTGTGTGACACACTTACATTACATGTATTTGTTTACATATGCTCTCAAAATATGTTCACTTTTTGCTCTTCCCTACCACCGTCTCTTCTTTTCAGATGTTGCATCCTCATCGTGTTGAGTCTACGTAGGCCATATTTTAATGTAGGTCATTACGTTAATACCCCTTGAGAGCTGCAGTCTAGAATCGCGTATGGCCTAGTGGGTTAATGAACAACTGAGTCGGCCCCCTTAAGCTAGACCGCGCTGAACGTTTGGTGGGAAACCCCACTCAGGGTTACAAAAATTAATCATTCAATTGCATGTTTTTTCCTCTTTTGTGAGGTTTGTCTGTATGAAAGAAAAAGTATGATTTGAACAGATTGTAACCTGTTCTTTTGCATGAGGTGTTGCTTGAGTTTGTGAAAACTGACTTTTACCATGAAACCAGCTCTCGACAGTGATTGACAAAACTCAATAGTTGTTGTATCAGAGGTCTAGTTATGCAGCTGTCATGCCTGTCATACCGATATTTTTTGTTTCGAGGATAGCATTCTGGTCATTGGGTTGGTATGTCGGTCGCTTATGTTGGTTGGTTGGTATGCTCGTCGGTGGTTTTGTTGATCGCTTGTCTAGGTTGTCAGTTGGTATGTTGGTCGGTTGGTATGTCGGTTGTTGATATGTTGGTCGTTTCGTATGTTGGTTGGTTGGTACATATACATGTATTTATGTTGGTTGGTTTGTATGTTGGTGTAATCGTTTATTTGTTGGCTCTGTCTTTTACTGCATATTTTTTTTTTTTTTATAGTATGTATTATTGTTAATTCGCCTAATCTGTGGTATTTGTTCTTTAAATATCGTACTCTGTGCAATTTTTTAATATTCAGTTATTAATTAAATTTATTTATTTTTTTTTATGTCAATTTTAACCTCTTATTGTGTATATTGTAAACCAAATATTTTTAGTCTTTTGACTTTCTATTTGGTATTAAGAAATAAACTGTAAATGAATGAATGAATCCATTACATCACAAGCTTCTTATGAGCTTCTACAAAAGTAACTGCCCCAAATGTGAATATGCATAAAAATTCCAGATTTTTTACTCCCTTCTTTATCGGGTCATTACTCATGAATCATGTATTTTATTTGACCTGGCTGCAAAAGTGGGACATATGCACAACAGTATTTTGCATTTTACAATGGCCAAAACAGTTGTGAGCTGTAGAATTGAAGATGACTACAGGATTGGATGTTTCCAATCTGTTTCCTTGGAATTCAAGTTGGCAACTAGATGCCAACTGTAATACCTAACGGAACTAATATCAGCTATCTGCCCTGTAACCTTGTTACATTTGCATGATATTTACCTATTCTTGTTTGGAACACTTATCTTCTTTATTTACAATGGCCCAATTGTTTCCAGTAATTCTGAACAGCTGTGGTATTTTGGTAATAACGTAGTGTTGACTCTGAAGTGTTGTATTATCAAGTGCACATTATCAACTTCCATTTTCCCCATAATATTGGTAAATTCAGAACTTTGGGAAGAAATATGTCCTGTGCAAATCAAATTCTCCACTTGCATCCATGTCTCTTGCGTTTGCTGAGCGCATCACATGGTTACTTATGGTAACAGGTAGAGCCCGTATGTTAGCTGGTGGTACACTCCCAATTCTTTGTAGTCGTCTGCTTGGAGTACATTGTGGTATGTGAGCAGCGCTGCATGATGGGCTAGTATCTGCTACATCAGGCGGTACAGATGACCCATGGGAAACACATGTCTGTTGTGTCAGCATGATGACTTGAGAGTTATTGCTTTGAAATAGGTTGCCATAATGAGATTCATTTATATTGCCATCATTGGTAAATGAATGCATTGGAGATGGACTTAAAAATGGGTTTGTGTTTGGTTTGATGGGTCTAAATGCCTCAATATTGTGTGTTATGGGAAGCCGCACTTTAGCTGTGTCATACTCGTCTCCCAGCGTAGAATCATTGGTTCTCGGAGATGGGATGTCCCTTTCCCAGTTAACACTGTTTCCTGTGGCACCATTTCTCAATCCACGCACTGGGATAACTTTCTGCTTCAAGCATTTACGTTGCACAAAGAGAGCAACAGTCATAATGATGAACAGTAGTAAGATGACGCAGGCAATGATGGTGACCATTACAGGTACTGATATACCCTTCTCACTGATAGAGAGTGATTTTGTGTTGATCTCTCTACATTGATCTCGTAGCACTGCCTCTTTGTTCAGGGACACGTTGTATAACACGGTGCTTATACAGATTGTGTATTGCTTTCCCGCCTCTAGGTCCTGTTGAAAAAAAAAAGGTGGCACATGTAGCTGAGTCATGGGTGGAAGCCATGAAGTTGACTTACCTAAATATAACTCAAAGTTTGTTTTTCCAAGAGCATGTTTTCCAATAGTGTTACATGTATGACACAGAGAAAATCTGAAAAGAGGGAAAGGTGCATGGCCAAGCTTAGCAGTGCACTTGGGGTGTCCACAGCACCCCACCCCCTGGAAATTAAGGTACAAAATGCCCCTTCAAATAATCTTTAAAAAGTTATGGTTAAAAATGGTTATTTTTACTTGAATTTCACTCCGTAAATAATAAGCTGCGAGGGAGACTTTTTGATCTTGTAATTAATTGATTTTCCTTTATGTTAACTGAAGAACTGCTTTCTTTATAACTCCAACCCTAATACACATTTCAAAATATTAGGTAAAATTTTTGCTTTCCTGTGGCTTCCCACCAGAAATGTTGAGAGAAAAGAAATGAAAAGATGTACAAAACGACACTGCTATAACAAACACTGCTGTAAGCTGGTATTGCAAACATCCTCCTTGGCTCCCCAATTGTCTGTGTATTTCAAAACATTGAAAAGTTGCTTAATTAAATGGAACATACTTGGGAGTGATATAATGATGACTTGAAAGTTGAGGACAATACATCACAAGTGAAGGAACAAAGGACATAAAAAAGTGCATTCAAACTACTTAGTTACATGTGGGGAGTACATGTGTATGAATGCACCTATACCCATGTGGAAAGGCTATCAAACATGGGTGTTCGACGTGAGAAACTTTTTTATGCTACAAAGGCAATGATATTTACCTCAGAAAATTATGGAAAGAAAAAATACATACATTTACATACATAAAACTTAGCTTTTGTTTCTTAACTTGCAGAAATCTTTGCTAGTTTACTTTGCTTGTTAATTTAGAGCATTTTTCAACAATGCATCATGTTGTGTGGCATGCAGTACAAGAGAATGTTTCTTTGTGCAGCCAATCTACATGAACATGTATTTTGTTCTGTTTTTAGCAGGTGGAGCTAATGTAACCGTAATGCATGTTGCTGGGATATTTGGCGATGACTCAAAGTTTAATTATATATAACAGGTGTTGCCCTTACCCAACGTATATTAATAAACACTGTATACTCAGTGCTTGTCCAAGAGCTTGCCTCTCGGACAAGCAGTGAGCATACAGTGCTTATTAATATACGTTGGGTAAGGACAAAACCTGTTATATATAATTAACATCTCCCAACGTAAAAATACATCTTGAAGACTCAAAGTTTATTTCATTTTGGGATTCAGCTTCCAATGAAAATTAATACATTAAAGGAAAAGAGTTAATACATGTACATTGAATAAAATGTACATGTATGAAAGTTTAATGTTCATGTATAACTTTATTGTTTGTATGTAAGTGGGTATTGTCAGCCAACAGAAACATTTGTTTGGCGTGCTGCAAGAGAGCATACAAAATTGTAAGGATTGATTCCAGAAAATTCCATGGAGTGCAGATTTGCTATCATTGTATGTATTGTTAGGTTCCTACGAAGCGTTCCCCTATATGCACAGAGATTACAGAGTACACATTATCTCTGTTACACACCCGCACACTCAGCTCACAGCAAGCGTGCAATGATCATTTACATAATACATGTATTGTACACAGAGCATTGTGTACCATGTGCAATGCAATTGCACCATGCTGCGACATATACATTTATGCCCTTGAACCATTACAGCACATTTCCAACTTGGTCATTTTCCCCCAAATCTTTCTTGGAGTCGATCCTACTTTCAGTCACACATATGACCAGTACATTTGACCCACACAGACCCACACTTCAAAGCATATACATCCTGCCAAACCACACACTGAAAGCCTGTGTCCAGTCATGGCAGCGCAAGGTCAACTACCTCCATTTCACCCCATAAGAATTATGTGTAGATTTCCCAGCCATGCAGAGACTAAGGGTTGTACTCAACTAAATGTACCAAGAAAGCTTCACCCATTCCTCTCCCTTAGCACACCCACAAGCAGCCTTTTGCCGTCCCATTCTCAAACTCCTTAGACTTTATTGCTCTCCAGAAACTAAGTCAGTGAAGACCAAGTGTGCGCAACATCCCCGTAGAGTTTTCCTCTGTAGACTTTCTACATGTATGAATCATTCATAACCACCCCAATCCAGTGCTCTCATTGGCTAAGATGTGGCCCAGAAAGTCTATATCAAGCATCCAACTCTGCTGGTCAGCACTGATCATTCCTGAGTCGCAGCTCCGGAGTAACAATTTATTGACCATTCATGGGTGTCTTGCCAGCCATGAATAGCTCCCAAATAAACAGCTCAGATTTGGACGAACAGTTCCCAATTATTGCTCTTATGATAAACATCCCATACAGTAATATCCAGCCTCACTAGCAGCAGAAGTTGATTATTGTAAATTAAGATGATGTAAATAATTCTTCAGAATAAATCAGCAGTGTGTGTGTAAGTCAATCCAGTGACTCTCTGCATGTATCATTATTTTTGATAACGACTCCAAGCCCACCCAAGGCTGAGCAGACTAATGCCAGTGTTTCAGCAAAATCCTTGCAGGAGTCACAGGCAGTAACATCTATGCCAGACATCACAGTCAAATCTACAGGTGCAGAGCAAAGCAAGTTTCATTCACCCTGAACACAGCCAAGTCATAAGCTGGACGTTTCTTTCCCTCATCAAGGAGAATTGAACGGCACGAAGTCATAGGAGGGCTTTGTCCGACCACTGATGGGTCTTGCTAAGGTTTGCAACTGGACTGAAGAAGAAAACCTGTTCTGGCTTGTGAGCAGTCTGCAAGGAATGGCTGCCAAGTATGTTTTTCAGCAACTTGATCCTGAAGCCATCAAGTCCTTTGACACCTTAATAAAGGAGCTTTGCAAGTGGTTCGGCAAACGCCAATTGCAAAACTACTACATCGCACAGCTTGAAACCAGGAAACATCAGCCCAAAGAGAGGCTGACAGAGTTTGTTGTCTTACGTGGCTACTCAACAGCAGATCCAGTTACCAGGGAGAACATTGCTCTTTGCCACTTTTTGAAAGCCCTCTCTGACCAGAAGGTCAGCTTCTGTCGTCATGACAAACCCCAAGTCTTGTGAAGCTACAACAGCAGTCAACTATTTCCTGAGCCTCCATGATACCACAAGCTCTGGTAAGTCACATTGTGGGAACACCGTGCAAACAGCTCCTGAGGCTGGCAGTGTGTTTGTCAGCACGAAGCAGTTTCAACAGTTCCGGGACAACCTCGACTGACCGCTGAATGGAATCATCAAACTGATAAAAAAAAGCCTGTTAACAGCTACAAACCCGTCAAGCCCATGGAAGCAAACAGAAGTTTGCCAAACCTATTAAAGCCAACAAGCAGAAAACCGATGACGTCACTTGTTTCAAGTGTGACAAGCCCGGCTACTGTGCGAACAAGTGTGCCGAAACAGCGGCTTCTTTAAAGGAGGTCATTGTCATACCGCCAGAAAACTAACAAGGACTGTGTCGTCTGGCCTGGCATTGGTTTGTCCCAATGAACAGAACACCATCTAAAAGAAGACAGCAAATTAAACGCATGTCTGGGGTTTCACATGTGCAGATGTGCAGCACACCAAGCGAACTATTAGTTAACACTGGAGTGGCGTCGGCCATCATTTCATCAGCTCTTTTCAGCCAAATGCCCACTAAGAAATGCCCTGAATTCAAACCCCTTTGTAAAGGTACAAACATGGAAACCGTAAACAAAAAACTTATTCCCATTGAAGGTGTGGCTACGGTTGACACCTTGATTGGTGGACAGCACTATCAGTGGGATGTAATTGTCGCCTCCATTAGTGATGAGGGCATCCTCGGCAATGACTGTCTATATCACTATGACTGCAAGCTTGCCATGGCATGAGAATTGCTGGTAACTGAGTTCCATGGACAGTCAAAGGAGCCCCTCCCTGTGCAGTCAAGATTACACTCAAACAACAAACTGTAAATTCCTGCATGCAGTGAATGGGTTGCAGAAGATAAAGTGGATCGTCATGGACTTTGCCCCATGTATGCGGTCATCAAACCAGCAAGCCTTCGTCATAACCTGGTGGTCGGCAGTTCACTCATCGATTCCTCTCAAACGGACATTGGCATTCCAGTCAGAGTTATAAACCTTTCATCTGAGAACATTGAACTTCAAGCTGGTACAACCATCGGGTACCTGCATGAAGTTGATGCAGTTGAACTGTTTGCAGAGCTAGAAAACTTTGAAGCCAATCATCTTTATCATGTCATGCATATATGCAAAGAGCATGCCCGCCCAACGTCATACACATGTAACCCAGTCAGCTCTGCTGCCCCCAACCCCTCAAACTTCTGGCAAGTGATCAGAAAGTTTGCAAGATCTGTACAACAAAAGTTATAAAAACCTGTCCTCACACAAGCAGAAAACACTGCATGAATTCTGGTAAAACATGAGAACACTTTTGCCAAAGTTGCAGAGGATTTAGGAAGAATGTCGATAGTGCAGCACATTATCGACACTGGCAACACAGGCCCCATTAGACAGCCTCCCCATTATCCTCCAAAGGCATTTCAAGTGAGGAGAAGAGTTTTTGAGAGACAATTAAAGATGGTTGTTACACAAGAATCGACATCCTGAAGGCATCACCAGTGGTTTTTGTAAGAAAGAAAGGACAGCACAACTTCATTCAGGATGCTGAATGATGTCACACGTCGTGACACATACCCCCCCATAGTTGATGACTGTCTACAGTGTAGTTTGCCTCAGCGGAGTGAAACCATTCAGCACACTCGATCTGCAGTCGGGTATGTATTTCATTATTCAGTAATGAGTTAATTAAAAACATAATTATTTTAATATTATTTTTATCTTTTGCACATTTATTTTCTAAAACTTGGCTTTGCTTACTTTAATGATAGTGGTTAATTTATTATGGCAAGATTTGTAGCAAACTTAAAGGAGGTTGGATTCCTGAAGTATTTTTGTATAGTTTGTTTTATGTTTAAGTGAGTTTATAATTCCATTCGTCATCCGTAATTTAATTTTTTTCTTGAGATTAGTTTTGTATAGAGGAAATTGCTTTCATAAACTCTCAAAAAAATGCGAGTGAAAGTTATCAAATGCATGATTTGGGTCATCTGTAGATGTGATTTCCCCATTTGCTTGATTTAGATCAATTTTAAACCTTTCAATTTGATCTACCTTGGTGCGTCTGAAGGAACAACTGGGCTTAACCTTAATGTTACCTTCAATACCAAAGGAAGATACATGTATCTGAAATACAGGTAAATGATAATAAATGGTCTTAAACTCAATTACGTGAATTGGTATTAGAGAATATTTAGAAAATGGGTTATTTGATCGGAGTTCTTTAAAATGCTTCAAATATTCTGGTGAAAGCATGAAAATTTGGTTTTAGTGTTCATTGCTTTGTATTTATTAGAAAAGGGTCAACTAAAAAGTATGCTGAATTGGCATAATTCTTGGAGTAATAGTTCCGTTGTATGTTCTCTTTGATCTCTTCCCACCTTACTTCCCTTTATTGCTCAACCACGCCTTTCATGCAGTCCCCTTTACCCTTTGCCCTTTATCCAGCCTGCAGCTTTCTTGACCTTTCCTTTTGTCCTGTTACATTCATCCGTGCTTGGTTTATTCCCTGTTTGCTAGTTCTGTCTACTTGTCATTTTGCCTTTGAGAAAGATTCTACTGGGATTGGAACATCATCAGGCCCGCCATATTTTGGGATTTGTATTTTAAGTCACTGTAGTCAGCAAGCAGTTTGCAGCAGTTTTGTATTATCTTAGTAACAGTTTTGATCAGGATCCAAGTCATTAATATTGGTAAAACGTCAGGTTGATGTAAAGGGGTTAAATTTTAAAGTTTTCAGACGAATTCTTTTCATTAGTTTTAAATTTAAGAATGGTCAAATCGAAGTCATCACCTAAGAGATGATTAAATGGCAGTATGTTGGGAAAGTGCTTTCGGCAATTTCCAAACAAACAATTCCAGGTGAAAATGATGATTGTTTTACAACATGTACTACACTTGCAAACCATCACTTACAGATTAGTACTAGTCGAGAAAAATGTCACGGCTGACATGATTGACAGTCTTTTCAAAAGAGATGCGCCACTTAAGGAGGAATTGCCCACGAACACCTGTAATCAATGCAAATTAATGCCCTAAACAGTGAACTACTCTTAGGGTTTTAAAGCCTGGAACGTCGATTTATGTGACCACAATGAATATGGACAAATGGATTGGTGTGCACTGTACCTACAGATGTGAGATTTGGTTGCAAAACACAAGACAAACAAATATCAAGAGGTGTACCATAAGATGTGCTGGAATATTTAAGGGGATAATCAAGTTACATGGACCAGGAAAATCAACTCAGAAATGATGATGAAAGCATGGCCGGGGTCTCCGAACTCGGACAAAGGGAACAGGGCTTTGTAACAAAAGATCATACTCAGAACAAAAGACCAGGCTGCTGGGCATTACTGACATTTTTTCACTCTCAAAAGTGGAGATAATCCTGCCTTGTTTTGAAACAGTATACCACAGTTTGGGGCATTTAGAGCGAGCGGATTACCACCAGGGACAAAAGCGCTCCACCACCGCAGCGATGAGCCACACAGCACCGCTGCATGCAAATCTGGCCCCTATTGAAAAGAGGTCAGCAGTGCACTGAGCCAGGTTCATGAACAAAAGAATATTACGTAACACCACAAAATCTAGGTGCTTTTTACAAGGCTGCAGGCCTGACTGAAATACTCAGGCATCAGATTTTGTCTGTCAGGCTAGAGTGGACACCAGACATGCCTTCAAGTGTTTGTAAGTGTCCAGTAAATGAAGATAGGAATTTTCAAAGAATTTGGAAAACAGAAAAAATGATAAATATCCCACCCCAGCATCATCAACATTGATAAATGCCCCGGCAGGAAGTGGTTAATAAGGGTTTAAATATGTACTTGGCCAGTCTTAAATGTACGTTTAAGAGTGGCTCAAGAGAATGGATGCGACTAATGCCCTAGCCACTGGTGAGGGCATTATCACCGTTCGTTCTCTTGGCCATGCACATATTAATTCCCCTTCATAAATACCTTTTTATTCAAAGAGTCAAAAGAAGTTAACGTATGATGGATTTCAAACGATTTTGTTCAAAAATGTTACTTTCATTTTCCTGAACACCCTCCATCATTTTATGGTATATTCCTTATGAAAGTTGAAATTGAATCCCCTTAGATGAATTTGGTGAGCACATGGAGCGTGGGACGTACACAGATTCCTGACCAATCAGCCTCTATTAAACTGTCTTGTATCCATGTGCCAGTGCATGATTTACACAGCAGCATTATCACTTCTCAGCAGGCATCAGAAATGTTAATGCACAGTCATGTGACACATTTTGACCAATAGGAATAGAAAAACTGTTCCAGGTATTTATGCATTGAACATAAAAGAAGTTTAACATTTTTAGCAGGTATTATGTACATGTTGATCTATTTCCACATGTATTATACAGAATGAAATTTTAAATGCATTTTCATTCTCTCGTGTGATTTTTATAAATAGATTGTACAGCATATGATAATTTTCCAACATCATTGTTGTAGCTTACCCTTAGCATAAACTGTGTAACAGATGGATGAATAATTTGACTGAAGGTAACACCTTTTTCGCCAAACTCATTGTATTGCACCACATATCCTGCTATTTCCTTTGTTGTGTGTGGCATCTCCCAGCTAATCTGGATTGCTCCTGAAGTGAGCTGAGTCACACTGATGTTTTTTGGTGGTGAGATAACTATTTCACAGAAGTTGCCAATATATAGATGCCTACACTTGCACTGAGGTCGCTTAAATTTATCGTAGACACATTTCCCTTTATTCCTGCAGAGGCCTGGAGTACAGCTTACTTCAAAGCCAGGACTTTTCGGTTGTTGAAATATAGTTGAGGGTGAAGGAACAGAAGTTGTTGCAATTGAAGTTTTTGGCATGTGCTGTAGCACTGTAGTTGGTTGTTCCCTCGGAGGAGATATTGTTGTCGTAGGATTTGTAGCTTCTATTGTTGGTTTGTACATGTAAGTTGACCCAGAAGGTAAACTGGGTAGTTCTGGTACAGCTCCTGGTTGACTAGCAGGCTTGATCGTTGGTAAGTGAAGTCTGGGATTTAAACCTGCTCCTGCACCTGGCATGTTGTGATGTCCAAACTGTTGACCAGAAGAGTCATCAAATAGACTAATGCATAGCAAGTAAAAAAATACAATGCCCATATTGATGAAATGCTGGTGATTTTATTCACACAACTCCTTTGAATAGCCACAAATAGTTGGTTCATGTGAGTGTGACATGACTTCTTGTAAATGATGACTACTCCTAAGCATCTTAATACACATAATGAGGGGTATGCAAGCAGCAAGCTCCTCTAGCCATAGAGCACCAACCCTCCTGAGACGGAAGTTACAGATTAAGGACTGTTCCATTGTTAAAGGGGTTGTTCATATTGGACTGTTCATCAAGATGGTTTTGCATTAAAACAACATGTACATTTTTATTTTACAAACAGTACCAAAAAATAAGAGAAACTTTTATTATTCTGCTTTATTGTTGTAGTCGTTTTTCAGTGGAGATAATTGTTTGTAAAACACCTATAAACAACTGTACGTATAAAGGGGCTCTTAAGTGAAATTGTAGGATAAGTGCCATGCATCCTGGAAGAGGAAGTGACTTATAAGGCATGCGGTTCCACACTGAGTCAGTGACATAAAATCAAGAGTTGAAAAGTGTGAGGTCATTATAATATATATAACTGTAAAAGGAAAATAAACCGAGGCTGATATATATTTTAAAAATCAGAAAATTAGTGTGAAAGCTGCATGCATGGGGCTTTATTTTCTTTGATACTTTATTCATGAAGATACAGGTACCTTTCATTGTGCATGATATAATTAATGGAGGATGCAGATGCATCCTCCGTTTAGTCACTGTTACTTGTTTTTGAATGGCTTGACGAGATTAAATGTGCACGATATTGGTGAAACTCACATTCAGTCAAATTAAAGTCAGTGCCTTTCATACAATGATGCATCGTGACAAATAGTAAAATGTCATGATGCTGTGTTCATGTGATGGTTTTGGTTTATTTTAACTCTCCTGTCGCAGCCAAGAAGCTGAATTGTAGGCCAGATTACACTCATACAAAATTACCAATAATTGCTAAAGAAAAAAACATCTTAAAGAAAGAATTTACTCAGAATAAAAAAACACTAGTTAGAAAAATTCCAAAAATTGGAAACAAAAGCAAGTTCTTTAAAATGTCACTGTAAATGTTTATAATTGTAAAATTATAAACAATTGAAATAGGACACACGGTCTACAATAAGAAAATTACAAGTAGTTCTCATTCAGTAGTTGCAGCTCACTGCACATATGATCATATGACGTATGACTTGAAATATCAATGGATAAAATAGTCCAAAACGCCCTTTTTTGTAGTTTTTCGAGTGATTCCCGTCATTCATTTGTCAATCCAGAATGCCAAACAGGACATGCTTATTCAACGGTAGGTCTGATATATTGCATGTACACAGTTACAAGATCATTGATTGATATGCCACAACATTTAAGCTGACGTAACAAATAAAGCCTTCTATTAAAGGAATTACTCATCACGGTTACCTGGATATCCCATCTGAGATTATTTTGGATATTAATGCCAAGAATTTTAAGACAGTTTAGTTGATCAAGTGTCGAAGCACCTAAATTCATGTCTGGAATGGATAGCGCTCTTTTTAAAACAAACAGTCATTGCCTGGCATTTATTAGGATTTAATTTCATATTACTGTCATTAGCCCATTGGTTTAGTCGATCAAGTTGATTTTGAATCAAGCTAGTTTGAACAACATCGCTAAATGTGTGGCATAGTGTTAAATCATCTACATATTTATAGTGAATGACTTCAGGAATGTTCGATCCGGCTTCATCTATCATGACTAAAAAGGCAACAGGTCCCAGTTTGGTGCCCCACAGAAAACCCGTATCAATAGACCACCATTCAGAAATCTCATTTTGATAACAGACTGCTGGGTGTGCTCAGAAAGGAAGCGACATATCCAAGGAATGATAGATCTAAGAACACAGGATTCCCTTAATTTAGGAATAAGAATATTGTGGTCCACATGATCAAAGGCCTTAGAAAAGTCTGTGACAACAATAACAGCAGAGTTTTTGGCCGAATCAGTATCGCAATGAATTTGATCCAACATTTTAATCAAATAGTGAGCAGCTGAGTTGTCTTTAAGAGAACCAAACTGTTGTTTGTCTAAATTACATTTGATATAATTTTTGATCCAACTAGTTACAAAGCCTTCCATGACTTTTACACAATACATAAAGGCCAAAGCATATCAAACAACTAATATTTAACATTTAAGACTTCTAAAATTACTCTTGTCAAACAATTAATAAGTAAAGGTAATATTATCATTTTATCCTAAAAATTGGATAATGCTATATGAGCAGATATGATTTTTTTTTTAAATGTAAATATTAAGGAGAAGCATGATTACTAACTAAGGTGAATGCCCCAACATGTACATGTGCTGTTATTTATGTCTTATTTTTTCATTTTCTTTTGAGAATTAGAGACAGTTTAAGAAACCTCTTTAATCCTTGAAACTTTACTCCAGTTGTTATTTAGATACTGATACCAGGTCACGTGCTGAGCATAATAAAAAAGAAAATTAATTGAAAATATGCCAAAAATTGGTAGACATCCTCATGATGTTTCCTTTTCCTGATTTGATTAACAGGTGTTTGTATCAATTTACTTCTATATTGCCTTTGCGGTACTTCATGTGATCACCTGCTTAGCTGTTAGTACACAGATCTACTACATGGGAACATGGAAATTAGGTAAGACTTATCACTTTATATTTAAGTGGCCCATTGGAGAGAAAAACAAGAGGACACCAATCTATTACATCCTTTCAGTCCTTAGTTACCAATTCTTATAATGCAAAATAATAGCTTTCCTGGAAGAATAATTACACAGGAGCTTATTCCATAACTACCCAAAAACAAACAATTTGTTAGTTAATATTTGGATAACTGCAATTGAAGGACTGTACCTTTAACCTCACAAAGTGTAGTTGTGAATTTCCAGTATCAATTGACTAGCAAAATGCAGTATGTGCATATGTGAACACAAAGAGATCTGTGGGGGGGCGTCAGGTTGGGGCAGTGTTTCTTTTTTTTCTTCACTCATTATCCTGTAATAAGCCATTTAAATTCATGTGAACATAATTTGAATTCTCCATGCTAGAGACACTGCCTTGCAGTGGTACACTGTTTTCAATGGATAAGAAGGGCACAAAGAAATCAGTCCTTTCCAGAGAAAGTGGTTGCTATGCAAAAGCTTGTCCCGAATCACGAGGGATAGCAACAGTGTCTTCAGTCAGGGGAATTCAATTTGCTGTGTTTGTGTGCAATAAGATAACACAGCGTACCGGAGTTTATTCAAATTTAACTTGCAAAAGACTTGTAAATGCTAAATGCACTTTTGGATGATCAGATATAAATCAGTTTTCGGTTCAAACTGTCAGATTGGCAGTCATGCATAAAATCCTTGGTCCACTGCACTCAGCCTACCCAAACAGTCACTACATATGCAAATTTCCAATGCACCTATTATTATTTGCTGAAAGACTTGATCATCCATAGTGCACCCTGGCCTCCCACAATGCATTACGGTCATGCTGCCATGTTCATCCTTTTTCCTCAGCGCCATTATGTAACAGACATAGCTTTTTAGGCATCTTTGAATTTTGAGTCTTTCTTTCTTGCTGCATGGTTCTATCGACTTTTATCATCCTTTACTCCTTCCTGAATGAAGTATTACCTTTTTAGTTTTCTCTTTTTGTTGGTAATAATGTTATTTCTGGTATTTTGGTGATGTTTTCTCTAGTTTCTTTGTATGTGCATCCTGTAGGGGCTTATTATTGATACCACGAGGTGCAATCTGCTTTGATGACCCTGCCGTACTTAGTGACAAGCCTAGCCACTTGAACGGGCTTAATATATTTTAAGTAGCCCAGGTGAGGATAAAGACCTAACCCACTCAAGCGGGTAGAACATATTTTAAGCGGCTTTAGATAGGGATGAGGCCTAACCACTTGAGTGTGCTGAATGTATTTTTAAGAGGTTCAGACGGGGATGAGGCCTAGCTGGTCAATCTAGAGAAAACTCGCTGGGATCCAATCAAGTCCCTTGTTTCTGCCTGCAACACAGGGATAAAGGCCTAGTCGTTTGAACACAGGTACCAGCTGGGATCTAGCTAGGCAACTCTTCGGGGAGTCTGAGGATGATTGACCACTTGAGCAAGGGTACTGGCTAGGATTTAGTGAGGTACTTAGTCTCCACAGTCTATTGCCGGTTTACCAAGCTACCCAAGACTCCTGAGAGTGCACTCCATCAGTTGTCTCCTGCACCTGTCCATAGCAACCGCTAAGGCCAGAGGAACTCACAGGCTGCGCCCAACTTATCCTATTTTCACATCCCCAAGAAACACCTGGTCATGCCTTGACCAATCATTCAGCCTGCTCATACTGGCTTAGACGAGGATTGCTCTTCAATTGATCTGCCCCCAAAAGCACTCCTCTTTTTAATACGCCCTTCTGTATCCATGAATAAACCTCTTCACCAGCAATTTTGTCTGAGCACACTTTCACTCGCCAGGACACTGAAAACACAAAAGTAAGCTCCCTCTGCTATATCAGTGTCCTGTGACGAGAGCTTCACGTGGGTGGAATTGTTTTTCACAGCCTCAGGGCTGTTTCAATTTGAATAATTCACTATTTACATATTCAACCTTCAATTTGATGGAATATCCAAACATTATGTCACACCAACCGGCAGATTATTTATGAAGAGACCATATATAAAAACAGTTACAATAACACACACAATTGTACATTATGATCAGTATAGTAGCTTCTTACATCTAGGAATATCACCAGCCAAGACTTAGCAAGATGTGAGAGACAAAGAATGCTTGTTGCCCTGCTGAAGATTTCTGTTTTAAGTTGTTCAATGAATAATTTTTTTTATTGTTGTAAGATTTCTAATGCTTTTTATTTGAATCTGCTCAAAACAAGCCTCCATTGTGCAATTTTTCTCATTTATTCCAATAAACTAAAAGAACATTTTCTCTTCCTTTTCAGGAATTTCACATTTGAATATTCAAATTCGAGAAATAATATTCAAATATTCAACAATCAGTCAAATATTCGATTATTCGGATATTTGTCACAGCCCTGCACAGCCTGGCCCTTTGCAGCCTTGGATGAAGAATTTAATGGCACATTTGAACAAATTGTTGGAAGTGCGTAATACCCGCCAACCCATACCCTTACTGCATCAGAGTCATCCTGCCTGATGCTCCTTTGTCCCCCTCTATTGCAGCTGAGCCAGTGCTGAGTGTCAACTTGTACCTTTCCTAGATTGAGGCAAGTACTATCTCTCTCACATACACAAACATCTCTCAATCCCCCCCCCCCGGTGATACTGCAGCTGACTCTAGCCCCATACAACTTTTTGTGCTGGGGTCAGACAACTCCCTACTACAAAACGCACTGTCCTTCACGTTCAACCCAATCCAGTGAAGGACGGTTCCCACCCAACATTCTTCCTCACATCTAATGGAACCAGGCCAATAATTTTCCATCATCACTCTGAAACCATTGCATAGATTATTCGCTTAGGAATTTCTGTATGTATGGTAGTACACTTCCCATCCAGGGCCTTATCCATTTGATCTCCTGGATGCCTCTCTCCTCACTCCCACTCACAGAGGAGGACCGCGAGTTCTCACCTATCTCACCACTCCTATGTCACCACTCACAGAGCGGAGCCATGGGTTCCTTTACTGCATATACATAGAGAAGACATACATATTCCAAGCTCTACCCTTTGGTCTGTCAGCTCCACCCGTAGCCTTCACCCAGGTTGCGACGACCATCGTCATCCATCTACGACTGCTGGACCTCATGTTTTTTTTCTGGTACCCAGACAACTACCTGATTATTGGCCAGACCTAGGACGAGGCTGTGGCTCCAACCCTGACCTCACCATAGACTGGGATTCCTCGTCGACCAAAGAATATCAACACTTGTGCCATTTCAGCTTCCAACATACCTTGGGGTGATACTCGTTCTCTGCTAAGACATCATCACCCCACAGTCAAACGAGTTGCCTTAACGCTGGTCATCTCACAGGTGAAACTCAAAATACTGATGACAACCTATGCATCATACATGTAGCTTGGATGGGAGGCCTCCCTTCTTCCTCATCAGATTTCATTGAATCGGGATGCTCAATTCCAGTGAAGTCACGTCAATGTCTTGGAACTGCCAGCTATTTTCAATGCCTTGTGCCACTTTCTCGTATACATCCAAAGAAGGAGTGTCTTGATCTGCTTGAACAATTCAACTGTGGTGGCCTCTATCAATCATCAAGATGGCACGCATTCACCGCAATTATGCATCTCAACTTGGGAGATTCTGCATTGGTCGATCAATCACCTGATCGACCTGGAAACTGTTCATTGCTGATCCAATAATTCCGTCACGGATGCACTGTCCCGCGGCATTATCCGCCCAACAGAATGGACTCTCCAAAACTCACTTCTTGGTGATAGAAAGCCCTTGCATCAACCTCTTCTCATCAGCCACCTAGACACAAATCTCGGTGTTTTGGGCCATGGATGCTCTGCAGACTTTTGTTGGGGAAAAATTTGTAGGCTTACTTTACGTTTTTGTTTTTGTTTTCAGACCTTGGGATGTTCAAAAGGGCCCTCATTATTATTCGCACTGAACTCTGCAAGTGTGCCAAACCAGTTTATATTGTAAGTAAGCTCTCATTCTATCTCACTCAACATGTATGTAGAGCCTTTACTTTACATGGATCATTCCGTGCAGTTGGATAACAAAGTGTGACAGAGGAGCTGAAATGTTTAAATTCACTTATGTGTCATACCCCCCCCAGTTTTCACACATTATTAACTGTATTTCTCCTAACTAGTTATACTTTTGCAATAACGAAAGGGGACAAGGAAATATTCAAGTATTACGCATCGTGCATCTGGTTGTGGATGTAACACAGAAACCACAGAGTTTCAATGTGGAGAAAAGATTTCTCGAAGTAACGAAATGTTATGAAAAGTCTTTTGTTATGTTCTAAATATTGGCAAGTATCCCAACAAAAGTAAAACGAAATAAGGGAATATAACACAAGAACGAATCAGGGTACATGTACATGTAGGTATATGTACTCATTTTGGCAAAATTTTCCAGACCAAGTACTGTGTGGTCAGGCTGAGCATTTTCCCTTATTCGGTCAGTATGGTTGGGTTCAAATGAAGTGCAATCTTTGTGGCCCAATATATAGCCGCATGGATGGCAATATTTATTTTGATCTTTACCACGTTTATCCAGTGTTGTAGTCGAGAACACTTAAGACCTTCACACGACCACACAAGACCAGCACAAGACCGATACAAGACCTCTAGTCTTAATTCAAGTCACAAGCTATTCAAATGAACTGCAACAAAAGTATTCCTTTGTCATTGTTCACCCTGTTACTTCTGACTGGTCTTGTGGGTGGTCTTGTGATGGTCTCAACTACAAAATTGCATTTATCCTCGATTGTATTTAAAATACACTGAAATTATCATGTCAGATCTCACAGGAAACAGTGCCAAAAATTTGACACTTTATTTATGATTTCCCAGCCGGAATGTTGTCAAAATCCTGTCCGTGCGCGGAAATGCAAGTTATAGGAACAGGGTGCTAATGGTAATGAACCCCACTATGGCCTGCTGGCTTGCACACACCATGTTGTGTTCACTATCATGGTTCTTCACAGTGTGGATAGTGCTGTACAAGCAATCCTTGAGGGATATGTGGAACTAGATGTATTAGCTACAAGACTATATCATTTTTCACCTGTGGGGGGGTCCAAAATACTTGGGTATGTACCATATTTTCCTTTTTTTTATGTTGAGATAATAATACCGCCACAGAAGGATGCAAACTGGAGTGATTGCTTAACTGTAACTGGTTTATATTTTTGGTTTGAACATGTGCTCAAAACCTGTTTATGTACGAATTTCAGCTATGGCTCCTCCAAGGGGATTGCGGAACCACCTGTATTCTTACATAATGGTAATTAATGGTGATTGCAAAAACAAGGTCTGGATGTACTGTAACTTGGAAATTGTCAGAGTTGTTCTGATCAATTGTGAATTGTAAATTATCAAAATTTACCGATACTGCCTTGAAATCAGTGATAGCGGTCTCTAATGGCTGAATTTACTTCCAACAAACTCAGGGTGGCATAACTCCATTGCAGCCATAACGTGTGGAAACTCTGTGTTTGACAAGTGAGAAAATACATGTACATGCCAGAAGACATCTGGCAAGTGATGGTTTGTTTGGCAAATTCTAAGCAAGAGCTAGCTGTTGAAGCATGGAAGAATCCATTTCTAACGAGGGGCATACACTTCCGTGTTACGGAACACCAAGGGTTGCAGATGTAACAGAATAGCTGTGGACACCATGCTCGGCATTCTGGCAAGAACAGATTTTTTCTTTAGAACTGAAATACAGCAGTGAATGCCGAGTTGATTAAAGGACATCTGGATCGTAGTTTTCAAACCATGGTGATGTAATTAGCAATTTTTTTCCAGGTCTAAAATACAAACTCCTGTTTCGGATGTAACATGACTATTTGTGTATGGAAATTACATTATGTCCATACCCTGGAACAAAACAGGGGCTCACTTATGAAGGAGGGGTAGTTCACATAAACTATATAGTGAACTAACAAGGGTTGATGTAGATGCCAACATGTACAGAATATGACAATATCTATATTTACTTTCAACCCACTCTCTTTGTTTCTTAAAGTCCCATTTATTTTACCAAAAGAAAATGGTTTTACATAAACAGAAACCACTTTTTTGTGCTTTATGCTGCAAAACATGTTTCCTCACATATGAACAAAATGGTTCAACAGTATACCTCTCTGTGTTCTTCTCATGATATAAATTTAAGTGGCTAAATATTTGAGTAGCTATGGATTTACTTCATAGTCAAATAACCAGGTGTTGCCCGACTTCATGGAATGACCCAGTTTTCTAGTTTGATATACATAGAGTTCTCACCAAAATATGTGTTGCTATTCGTTGCCCCACTCTTTTCTAGCTGAAGGGAGATGTATGCTCTTGAAATTAGTGTATGTTTCATTCTATTTGCCTGTTATCAAGGAATGTTAAAGTCATGTGTAAAATGACTTCATCTGCAAGTGTGTAGAGGCCATTTCACTGCAAGCAGAAACTATTTCATCTAGTTAAAAACAGTCAGAAAAGAGTGCATTCTAACACTTTCAACGCACAGTAGTCAGCTTACAAACTGAAATTGTGACCCGGTACATCGAAATCAGGAATAAGTCACAAATTGTACATGGTCAGAAAGAAAACTATCATGCTCCTTTGCTTCGCTCATCTTCTATTGATGGACACTTCATTCTTGGTTTTATTATACAGAATGGGAGAGGGGGTTTCACTAGGCTGCTGGGTGCTTCAACCGTCTGCTTGCAAATAGGTACTGGTACAATAACAGTTCAATATGGAATTGATGAAAACCTTAAACATTAAGTTACAGCTTTCATTTCAGAAAAGAAACATTGGTCAAATACTAATAGCATTGAGTTTAAATAATCCAAAATCTATATAGATTCTCAAGTATTGAAATATTTTGCATCACTAAATGAGCAAGTTATGCAAACTTCATGTAAACAAATATGTACAGAGTGATCCTATGACCAAGAACATGTAGCGCCAAATAATTGTAACTGTAATAGAGCCAATGATTTTCCATTTCAAAACGGGTATTTTCTGTTTCACCAAATCCCAAATTCCACTTCAGAAATTCAAATTCCATTTCATACCTTAGTAAGCATGAAAAAGGAAAGCAAGTTTTAAACTACTGGTATGCATGAAAACCATTTGCCCAAGCATATTCCCCCCCCTGGAAAAAAATAAAAGAAAGAAAGTAATAGTGTTTGGATATACTCTGTAATGTTTCAGACTTTTTAAAATAATTTTCTGTGGTGATAATTTTTTTTAAAAATCTACACAATAAATACGGCATCCCCCCTTGATTTGCCATTGGAGCGATCATCAAAAACTTGCTGTGTCTCTCCTCGTGTATGAAATCAAATTACATTTAAATATATGTACAGTGTACATGTACAGTGAAGTCACAGGGTAGGTCTTGCATGCAACAGTCATTGATCACAATATGCCAGACATCGACCAGCCATATTATTTGGCAGTGGTGTGACAAAATTCAGAAAGATAACATTAAATCTGAGCCTTAAAATGCACGTTTGTGACTGAAAACTTAGCTCTTCATCTTGGAATATGTTCTTCCACTAAAAGAGAAAAGGAAACACTTACAGTTATGGTATACTGGCTTAAATCATGGGCCACTCCCTGGTACACACAGTACCAATGTAAAGTACACTCCACACAGGAGGTGACTGCTCACAGTGCAAGCTAGTAAGGCAGTGACTTGGGGGATGCACATGGCATCTCAGTGTTAAACAAAATCACTGAAGCAAAACCTAATTTGCCAAATGCTGATTTCCATGTGAAAGATAAACTTAGATACTCCCTGGGTCAACTTCATTGCTAAAGAGGGGGATTTAAACACAGTGCAAGGTATATGTGAGTCAAAGAATAATAAATTTACTATATTTAAGAACACATTGTGACACATATACAATACGTGACAGAAATCATTGCTAAAAAATACAGCAGTTGAAGCTGAAATATGTGTATCCTTTTCTTAAGGTACTGTGGATACACATAAGTGTTTGTCTTCTGAAAGAAAGAAGCTTTTAAGATAATTATGCTATTGCAAAAACACATTGAGCATTTTATGAGATGTGATTGTGATTACATTCACTCTCCAAGCTGCCCAAGTGACAACTTACAATTCCAACTTGTATGGCTGAATGTCACCCCCAAAAAAAGGTTTATTCTGTTTCAACCAATTTCAATTCCATTTCCCATACCTTAGATCTTATAAATTTCTAATAATGCTCAACCACTCCTTGCCAGGCGACCCATTTCAAGTACATAGGCTTTATATGCAGAGCCGAGGAGCCCGGAACTGGGGCAAAAGAGTTGGGCCTTATAACAAAAGACTGTACTCCGCACAAAAGACTGAGCTGCTGGGCATTGCCGACATTTTTTTGCTCTCAATAGAGGAGATAATCCAGCCTTGTTTCGAAACAGTATACCGCGGTTTGAGGCATTTAGAGCAAGCGGATTACCACTGGGGACAAAAGCTCTCCACCACCACAGCGATGAGCCACACAGCACCGCTGCACACTAATCTGGCCCCTATTGAAAAGAGGTCAGCAATACACAGAGCCAGTTTTGGGAACAAAAGAATCTTACGTAACACCGCACAATCTGGGCTCTTTTTCCAAGACTGCAGGCCTGGCTGAAATATTCAGGAGTCAATGAATTTCACCTGTCAGCTTTAGAGTAGTGCCCAAAGAGTCCTTCATTTTGGTATAAATGGCCATTAAATGAAATGATGAAATTTCGAAGAATTTTGAAAACAGAAAATCTTAAAAAGGACCCGGCATCTTGCCTTGCTCAAGAAAAATCCACCGGGCAACAAGTGGTTAAAAACCCACTACCATGCAAACAGATTCTGCTGATCTTCACTAACACCATAGCTCTTTATAAAGATATAATCTCAGCAAAGAAGGTTGGGAGATGAAGTAATTTAAGATCTATTGGAATAAGTTAGAAGAAGAACTCGGTGCAGGTGAAGACCCTGAACTGTTTCTGTTACTCGGAAAGCTCTTTAAATGGAGATACACATCAATGACTTTGACTTTGTTAAATGGGAATAGGACACATGAGTGCAGCATGGGGAGCTCACCCAAATTCCAAGGATGTTTTCATTCATTCATCGTTCATTCAACCAAAAGAATCTAAATTTCATAACCTTTCAATGGTACACATTACAAGTGTTGTAGATGGTAACCTCTCAGTTTCATATATACACTTCCAAATATACAGAAACTGCCACATTGATGTTTTCAACATCAACCCACATCCCCACTTATACTCAGCCATTACATAAAATGTTCTCATGTTGCTAATTACGATCTACTGGGTCACAAATGTATAGACAGCCTCAATCTAAACTGTCCTTGAAAATTCTAATCAGACATTTCAGGAAGAGATTGGTGCCAGGAATTTTATTCTAAACAGTAGTTTAAAGGGTGTATTGTCAGTATACCACACACAACATTGGTAAACTCACAAACAATTTTACCACTCCACTTGAGTGGAAATTTGTTATTCGTTATTTATTATCTTTGTTAATCTATTTTATTTATATTTTTAATGTACAATGTTAGCCTTGTGTTGTCTGTAACAAGCATTTCAAAAACAATAATTGTAGAATGCATTGGAATTACCATTTGTTTCTTTAAAAATTTTCTGTTTTTTTTTTCTTTTCTTTATAATTCATTAGGAATGATGTTGGGAGAAGAATCATGCAATTCCACCTTCATGTGAATTGGCTAGCCATAAATGTCACTAAGAATGATGCAATCACTTTTGCCTCTTTTTTCTCCTTATTGAAGGCAATAAATTTATTGCAAATTCTCTTTATGCATGCAGCTATACATTGAATTTCTGGTTTGTTGCAATTTAGTTGTACCTTGTATGGACAATCTTGAAAAAAGGATAGACTGAATAAGGGGCAGGCATTTCAGTTTAAGGCTCTCAGCCAGTCTTTTCTGGGTTGGTCTGCTTTCTTGCTGTGACTCTTCTCCACTTTAGTATTTAAAAATATTTTGCTTCAATGTTTAGATATACTTTCATAAATACGTCAGACAGTCTCCCTGTTTAACAACTTGCAATTTGACCATGTATTGACATTTGATAATGCCCGCTGAGATGTGATAATGCCTGCAGCGTAAAATGCTCTGGCACCTGGATGTGAGACAGTTTACTCCATCCCTATTGGTTAAGAGTCTGCGTGCAGTGGAGCACATGCCATGTCCATATATGGATATTCTTCTGGACAATTTGCACAAGGAATATACCATAAAATGTACAGGGGTGTTCTGGAAAATGAAAATAAATGTCTAGAACAAAATCGTTGGAAATCTATCACGTATTGACTTATTTTGACCCAAACTAAAAAGCTTTTTATGAATAGGAATAAATATGTTCTTGGCCAGTCTTAACCCCTTCGTGACAGAGGACTGCAAATGCAGCAGATTGTGTGAGGATTTGTGCATACCACACATACAGTCTATTCACCATGCAGCTGATGGTTCAATGGGGCCTTCTGCTGGACAGAGCTTTGCATACTGGGCGTACCACAGCCCAGCAGTCACAGTCAAAATAATCCTGCCATGAAGGGGTTAAACTAACGGGCATTAGTCGCGTCCATTCTCCTGAGCCGGTCTTAAATGCATGTTAAGCACATATTTATCCTGTTATTAAAGTAAAATTCTTAAATACATGGGTCAGCTTTTCTATTTATATTGGTAAAAGTGCATCACATGATCATGTATTAACATTTAATAATGTGAATGTGATGGGATGCTGTCTGCTACGTAAAGCACACGCTGGCACCTGGATACGATTAATCTATTCTGATTGGTCAAGTGTCTGTGTGCACCCGGCACGTGGAACTTGCCACGTACAGCCAAGTCCATATGAGGAGATTCTTCTGGGCTAGTTGCACAAGGGATATACCAGTAAATGGACGGGGGGTGTTTGGGGAAATAAAAGTAAAATTCTTGAACAAAATCCGTGGAAATTTATCTTATATTAATTTTCTTTTGACTCTCTGTCTAAGACAGCATTTATGAATGGGAATAAATATGTGCTTGGCTGGTCTTAAACTGTAGTTCTCCTGAAGAGAATGAATGCTGATAATGCTCAAGCTACAGGCAAGGGCCTTAGTTACATCCATTTTCTTAAATGTATCCTTTAAATATCCCCTTTAAAAAGCAGTAACAGGAAAATAACAGACATTGTGAATAATGGACAAAGGAGAGCATTTATTTGCTTAACACGCAACAGTTTGTTTTTCATTGCAGGATCGAATGATTGTGCTCACTGTAGCAAACGCCATCAATTGGTCAATGTAAGTATATTGAAAGTGTCATGGAATAATCCTGCTTCATTTTAGCTATCAGTATCTAGTGGCTGTCACTCTAACAAATGCAATCCCCAGATGTAAATGTATCATATGGAAGGGATTACTAGATTCAATTCTATATGTATGAAACCTAAAGTGCATATGTCACCAGTTCAGTTGAAGTTTCCATTTGCTGTTTTTGTTTATCAAATTAGATTTATCCCTATGTACCTCATTGTGCTCTTTAGTAAAGACAGTTGTGATAGTTCCATGCTCCCCGGATTAGTACTTTCAACCATTCTTCGTTTCTGTTACAGAAATACCTCATACCAACAAATGCATTATCAAGTCACTAGCACAAGCACTTGCACCGAGAACAGTAGAAGTCCTTAACATCATCCCACAATCTGCGTGTCGCATGCCCCATTATCACATGTATTGCACAAGTAACTTTCCAGTTTGTTTCCAGTAATGATGCCAAGTACATGTGTTTCGTTTAAGTTCTATTCATATTCTTTGCTCTGTGCTGGAACATATTTCTAAATCTTCCACTTCTACATCTTGTAAAGTTCTAAAATGAAGAAAGATGGAAATGTAGTTCATGGAGTTAGCTGTCATCACTGTCAATCACAGCATTCATTAAAAACTGTTACTGTGAGATACTGAGTGCGTTCAGTGACAAAGGATCGGAACTATCTCACCTGATTTATTCGCCATCTTGGAAATTTTTAAGCTTACAGCTTGAACACTTGAGGGTGCACTTTAGATACAAAATAATGAGCTGAACTGGTGGATTGTGAGAGGCAGCAAGTATCCAACATTTCCTCCCCACTAAAACTGTAGAGTCCACATTTCAAGTTTCAAATGCCCAGTTCAGCTGTTTGAATTGTATACTGAACTTAGCTGGTTTCATTTGTGTGTTTATGAGGATAGGGAATGTTATACAAAGTGCAGTTTCTTTTGTTTTTGCTTCACTGTCAAACACTGAGTATTATGGAATCTCAACATGAGTTTCTTAAAACTTTTTTTTTGGGGTTGGTTGTTTAACTAAAACTGAACTTAATTTCCCTTTCTCTCTCTTTTTTTTTTTCAACTTAAACTAACTTAACCTAACTTAAAGTAGGGTGGCCACCCAAGCCTGTGGGGTGTTATGAGTGTAAGGGTTTAGAGATCCAGCCTGTCTGGTGGTTTGTGTTTCCTCTGTGGGTAGGCTAGGTGGCTCTGACGTTGGGTTCATGGAAGTAGTCAGTGGATCTGCTTCAGAATGGATGACTGCTGGAGTCTGCATGGATTGAGTAGGGGTTAGAGAATCCGGTGTCTTCTGGTCAGTGGTGTCTGGAACAATCTGGGGCACTGGGTCTTGCTGGATCATCTCAGGCTGCTGGTTGAAGATGTGTGGTTTCCCAGTATCGGCATCAAGAAGCTGATCAATGTGTCTGTGCCAGATGGAGTCTGGGCCGACTTGAACCTCGTACGACAAGGGCCCAGTTTTGTTTTACATCCAATGAGGCTGACAAGTGCTGAAACTTTTTGCTCATTAACAACTCCATTGGCTTCAAATACTGCTTGAGATGCTCCACATATGTGGGCCAGTCCTCTTCTTTGCTGTTAAATGGGTCAATTCGACCAATGAGTCCCGACACCATAATGTTCCCCGACTACACACGTGTGTATGTTCACGTATTAGCAAAACCTGACAGTGGTCCAGCAGCACAGTACCATATCACTGGCAGCTGCTACACAACACATGCAGTCGGCAAGGCTTAAATATGTTAAATATAGACCCGTATGCTCTATACAGACACTATGCATTGCATATAATAAGTCACAGTGGTTCAAGGGTTAAGAAGCATTTGAAAGCAAATGTGCGTTTGTATCCATTCAGTATCAGATTGTATAATTGTCATGTAGAGAATGTAGAGACCTTTCTTCACATAGTTTTTCTTTTCATGTTTTAATGCTCTCATGAATGGTTGGCCCAATTGGAGTGAAACCTTATATGTCAGTATTCCATCATGTGTTACAGATAAAAACTGAGCTAGGTGATGTTATAATAATGTCATCAATTGAATTTTTTACAAATTGTGTTTTTTTTATTTTAAAATTTTTGCAACATATCTTTCAAACTAAGCAAGGTGTTTAAAAAAGACTATGCCATTCAGATGTGGAAGTAGTTCAAAAAATTTTGTGACATCTTTGATGGCATTATCCTTGGAAATTTTGTAGATTTTTTGTCTGCTAATCACCTGTACTCTTTACGCCCTTTTTACTCCACGTTTCCAAGTATATGCATGTTAATTACCTGTGCATGTTAACTTTATATTAGGAATGTAAAAAAGGCCCTATGTTTGTTTTCAAACAAACAGAACATCTCGTTTCTTTCCCCTTTTTTTGTTCTGGCCGTCAACTGTTGCAATTTATTAAATCAGATTGTTTCCAGACTTGCCAAACACTTAGATAACCTGCCAATGGTAGTAATAGAAGAAATTTGTCAGATGACGTTATCAAGAGACACATGGCATTAGATTAAAGGTTCAGTTTTTCTCCATAGGTTTTTGTACACGTTCTTCCACAGCCCAAGAATTTTGTCCTTTTGTCATTTTCAGTTGGCTTCTTATATTGTACACACTTAGACATATATGCGTTAGAGATGAAAGTTGAAGTGACATCACGATGACATCATTTGGTGTCAAGTTGCAGAAAATTAAAGGTGTAATTTTCATATCCACGTGTTTTTTGAAGTACATGCACGAATGTGACATCATCCGATGATAGGTCACTCATGTGACATTAAATCTGTACCCTACATCAGAGCACAAGTACATAGAAGTAGTGATTGGGTTAAAACCTTACATGTACATGTACTTGTACTTAGTTGGAAATCAGTGGTTCTTAACACTGGATTACAAATATTCCTAACAGTCTGATTTTTTGTACTAAAAGTCAAATGGAAATCATGTGACATGAGATTAAAGATACAGGTTTTCTCTATAGGTTTTGGGCACATTTTCCACATCAATAGACTTTAGCATTGCTATTGATATTACCAATGTTACCTGTATTTGTTAAACACATAGTTAAGTAGCTAGAAAGGGTCCCAGGAAAAAATTATATCAGGTGTCTCTGACATGACCTTAAAGGTTAAAATTGAAACATTTAAAACCCATGTGTTCAGTGATTGTTACACTATTTCTTGTTAATTTTACTTGATTAATATTTGTATTGTCACATGAGTGTCATTTTAGGCAGATACCAGCACGTTATAAATCTTATTACTATTATAATTATTAAAATTATAGCTTCTGAACTACACACTGTACATGTTTGATGGGGTTGACATCTTGCGGGTACTTTACAGGGAAGTGTATTGACATGTGTGATAATGATGTCATCAGGTGACAAGTCACATTACATTTAGGTACACTTTTACATGCACTGTCTGACTTGGTTGAAACCTTGCTGGTACTAGTAATAATTAGACAAGGAAGTGTTGGAGATGAAAATTTTCATCATGTAACAATGATGTCATCTGGTGACAATTAACGTGACATTAAAGGTGCACTCTTCAAACTTTTAAATCTGTTTAATCACAGGAATATGAAACATTGTGCAGTAAGTATCACCACTTGTTGCAGAAACGAAGCACTGTTCTGTTTGTACCCAAACACATTTCTTGTTTGGTCAGTTTGGTTAGGTTGGTTTAGATCAGGTTGGGGCTTTTTCGTTTCTTCAACCATACAGAGCACCTTTGTAGAAGCAAAAGTGAATCTACTTGTTCTAACCCTGATAGTCATAAATCTTCCAAAATCCTATATCATTTCTTTCATCACTTTAATTATACCCTGAGTATTGGGGCTGAAGGCTCTCTTTCTGTTTTTGATTTTGGATTCAGTTTGAATTCTGATTGAGGTTTGATTTATGTTGTTCACAATAACTCTAATAGTCCTCAGTCCTCCAACAGGTGAAGGGTTGAGGACTGATAGGGTTAATGTTTTGGCTTCATTTTCAGATTTTAATTTAGCTGTTGCTTTTTTAGATGATATATAAGTTTTAAAAATGTCTTTGTGTTGTATCCGCAAAGTCAGAAATTCATCAATTTGTTCCTCTCACTAATGAACTGTTTTTGTGTCTTCATTTGAAATTGTTACTAGAATGATCTTCAGCCTTGCCAAGGTTCCCAAAGACTTTAATTCCTACCTGTTGGCAATTTTCCTTGTGAATCTGTTGCTGTATGTGGCATTTTACATCATTATGAAGGTACTCTTTTGTATTGTACAGAGATTATCTATAGGGTTTTGCGAGACGAAATGTTGAATAGTGTGATTAGTGGTGGTTTTAAGCTATCCATCTTGCATACTTTTCTTCTTTCATAAAGGAACCAGAAATGAATTGTTCTAGGAATCACTTTTTGTGTATCTCTGTACTGTTCTTCCATGTATGAAGACTGTTCGACATCTTTTTTTGAGTTACTTGAACTGAAGGGTGCACTTTTTTTAAATAATAAAAAATTGACCAAGCATTTCTGGACAAGTGAGGGTGCTTTTGCTTTGATGTAAATCCAGGAAGACATGCTTCAGGTTGCATGTTTTCATATTCAAATTGTGAATCCCAAATTTGCTATCTGGGAATATTTCTGTGAAAAGGATTTTTGCTGGATTATTGCCGTATACTTACACAGCAGTAAATTGCCAAAGAAACTAAAATCTGCCAAAGCAGTGGTCAAACAAATCTAGAAATGTTCTGTGCACAAATCAGTGCAACATTGAGATCTAGTGCCTTGGATGACTGTTTTGTTCATGGATATGCAAATATGCAATAGCATAAAGACCAAAAAATCATCAAAATACAGGTTAAAATTGCAAAATAAAAGTGCAATTTCAAGGGTTTTAGTAAAATTTATACAAATATTTCTATTTCCTGGTTGCTTTAAGTTGCTAAGTTGCTAATAAGTTACGAAAAACACAAATCTTATGTGAGAGAACTATTATGCACCAGTATAAACTATGTGTATTTCAAGCATGATGGGACTTGGCTGACTACTAAAGTATGACCAAAGTGTAACAAAGATTTCAATGCAAGACTTACACAAGGCAGTCATGTGGCTAAAGTTGCAGACCATTGAATTTTCTTTTCTTTTGTTTTTCATATTGTTTTCACCTGTTCCCAATCTAAGCAAACTGAGGATTGAGATTGATGATGTTTACAGTGTTGTTTTAAGGCATACTATTAACCTCAACCATTTTTCCTACATCCTATGTAGTTAGGGTTGACAAAAAGAGAGGCTGATACGTGTAGGTGTTCTTTTCATTTTTATAATTAATGCAACTTCCCTGTTCTTCAATTTAAAACAAAAATAGGTTCGATATGGAGAAAGGTTGATCCCTGCAGTTGTTGTCATTGTTGTAATGGCACTTGTTGTTTGGGGGTTGGCACTTAACTTCTACTTCAGAGCACTCACTGGATGGGAGGTATGTAGGTTTCTTACATTTCTTAATCTCAAAGGTTCTACCTAGTACCAATGCTATTAAGATTAGATCTTTACATGAACAGTAATACCTGTCTCTTAAGGATTTGAACCTGGAAAAGTCAAGTACAAAATCAAAGCAGAAACAGATGTGACCCAGTACATCAAAATCAGGAATATGTGGTCACAAAGAGAATTTCATAAGCTTTCAACTGGTACACATTACATTACATGTGCTGGTGGTAACCTTTCATACGTGCACTTCCAAAATATATAGAAACCACCACATTGGTTGTGTCAACATTTACTTGCATCCCCACTTTACTCGGCCATTATGTAAAACAGCCTCAGTGACTTATTCTTGATTACAATGTACCGGGTCACAAATACAGATTTTCTTTAAATAGTTGACAGCTTAAAAGTTTTAAAACAGGGGTGTGGTTTCTGGAATTTCTGTGAGACTATCCGGAATTTCTGAGAGACTTTCCAGATTTTCATATTGTCAGTGCTTTCAATATGTAACGCAAAGACTAAAATATTTGGTGCGAAACTAAGTGAAGGACTTGCACAAGTTTAGGTTTTTGGCATGTGCTTTTGCATTGTTACTCCCCCTGGAAATGCACCAGATACATTGGTAATAGTCCATTGAATGGAGGGGGTATCATTGTTAAAACATAGGGACCCAGGCCAGTGGTATGATCGTTGTGTGTATGTACATGTACTGTACGTACTGTACGTTCACTGTGTGTGTATGCACGGTACAAATGTTGTCGTTGCTTGCACTGTCGACAACTTGCATCCGTCTGCCATTGCGTTTCGTTTCGTTCTCGTGGTGGTCTGATGTCGTCGACGTCCATCAAAAATGTCAAACAAGGTAGTAGGTAGGGAAGGGGATCTGAATGTAGACAAAAGATTCAAGAATTCTTGGACATTTTCCTGGCTGGAAACCGAGGTGGACAGAAAATTAATCAAGGGGAAATCGATATATTATCGTGACTTTCTTGTGAAAATAGACAAACTTGGGTACTGCAAGTGCATCTGTAAGAGACAGTTTTCAGTTTTAATAAATTGTGATAGAATTTTGTGGATCACTGATAACTGCGCATGTGTGTTACACTTCTAGGTCTTTGATTGTCACCAGTTATAGCTTACACATATGCAATTGAAATGAAAGAGGACAAGGGCTTTGTTGCAGTAAATGTTATAATTTATCCCTCAAAGTAAGAACAGCTCTTGTGGTGGCTTACATGCAGTAAGTCTCCTCCTATAATCAAATAAATGTGCCTCAAATTGTAGGGAAGCTGTGGCCAACTCGACTGGCAAAACCCTCCAACGAATGTTTCATGGATTTTTCATTTTCCCCAAATCACACCCCTAATTAAAGAAATGAAATTGTTATCTTGTGTGTGATGTACGTGAACATATGTATGTGGCTTAATCCTTTATAGGCTGAGGTGGGGTGCATTTGACCTCCCTATGGAAATTTTTACAAATACTTCCAGACCACTGCCAAGATCGATCCATTTTTTCATGACCCTTTTTCCTTGTATTATTCTGCAACTTTAGATTCCAAAGTAAAAAAAAAAAATTAGACAAGCTATTTTCTGGTTTTATGATAATCAAGAGTTTATTGCCATGTATACAGATGGCTTGAAAGATTTGGACTCTGTCTCCAGAGATGCAATTTGTCAAACAGTCAGAGTCAGGCTTTGTTGATTCAACCCATTCCTACTGTTAAGTTTCCCACCACCAACTATCAACCACACCCTGTTAATAGTTGGGGGTTTGCTCTGAGTGACAAGTGACAAGCAGGGCTGCTGATTGAGCTGACGTCACCTTGGTCCTCCCTGCTCTGTGTGTGTAAGCATCGGAACCTACCGTTTGGGCCAGAGAGAGTGGAGGTCCGTTAACAGGAAAGAGAAGGAAGGAAGCCTACTGTGATGATTCACCACCACTGGTTATGGCTCACTGAGGCCTGTTGGGAGGTGAGCTCATGGATCACCTGCTTAAAGCCAATCGGCTGGTGCATCCCAAGCCCACTGAAGGTCTCTTCATTGTGGGCACTTAGGCATGAATTGGGCAATAACACTTCCTGCGCTGATCGACTTACCATTGTGCTGCCTTGGTAAATGCGCCAGCAGAATGCGGACCCAACTCCGCATCTCCATCATAGCCTACCATGACACACACTGCTTCTGGTAGGCTCACTGAGTCTGTAGGGAGGCAGGCTCGTAACTCATCTGTTGACTTCACCGCTACATGCCTAATCCCACCGGCATCCAAGACCACATCAACAGGGGCACCCAGGTGTGAACCCAGGCGACTGCGCCATTGGAATCAGATTCACTATTGCATCTCTCAAGTCCACATCCCAGGCAGCTGAGCCCAACAGATTTCCACATTGCCGTGGATTTTGCATGCCCCATGTCATTCAGTACTCAAGGTTTTTCATAGGGATCCTCCGGAAGAATGCCTCTGAATATACTGTTACTACAGCTCATCATGTACAGCCCCTTTCCAACTGTGAACCACAGAACAACCACTCTTCCATGGCTTCCACTTATCCAACTCCATCTGTGAAACTCTTCCACAGACTCTCCTGTGTGGCCCTGCCATGCCCTGCACTGTTATCCCAAAGGTTGGCATGTCCATAGTCTTGTTGCCGTAACTGTTATGAGGCCCGACTCAAGTATGGTTTACCGTGAGCTGATGATATTGTTGCAGTGGTGCTACAGGTCCACTCCTCTGGCCATGCCTGGTGTGACTGAAGCAGGGAACTGTTCGCTTCTCAAGTGCTTGCGTTCATTGAGCCGAGGAACTCACTTTTGACTGCTGTGCGCAAATCTGGTCAGAACGATTTAATACATGCTGAAAAACTAGCGAAACTGCAAATACGTGCGGGAAGAATTGTATTGGGCAAAAATAAATTTTCATATTCCACTTTAGAGAACCCTTTTGTGTGAACTTGTTGAATTTAGTTTTGTCCAGTTTATTTGGAAAATATCATTGGTGAGATTGTGAACTATTTCTAAATCCACTCGTATTGACATACAGTATTTATCTATCTTGCATCTGTTCGGTATTCACCTTTGTAATATTTCTTTAACCTTTTAAATTTATTTTAATGGCCTACTTTAAATTTTCATTTGTTTTCAGTTTAATAAGTGTTTTACATTCTTTTATAGCTCAGGACCCTGAGGAAGACCACATTAATATCGTGAATTGAGCTATCCTGGTAAAATATCAAAAATAAACAAATAAATAAAACTAAATACTCTGAAACTCCAGGCAGCCTTCAATGCAGTATGTCACTTCTGTACAGCCATCAAGGCAAACTTGTCCTGATTCTATCAGACATCTCAGCAGTGCCCGCATACATGAATCACCAAGGAGGCATGCACTCACTAGGCATCGGCCTCCTGACAAGACAAAGGTTCCCATGGATGTTGAACTCCAGGATTGACCTAAAGGCAACCCATATCCTGGGAGCCAACAACTCCATTGCAGACGTCTGCTCTCAGGGAAGGATTCACCTGACCGAGCAAATTCTGCATCACAACATGGCCGAGTCAATCTTTAAGGTACTCAACAGTCCGCATATTGACCTCTTTGCCTCAACAGAGAACATTCAGCTGCTGATGTTCTGCACCAGGTTCCCTTAGTTACAAGCCTGGGTGACAAACTTTCTT